TTCAACGTTTTTTATTTATTTTTGGGACAGAGAGAGACAGAGCATGAACGGGCGAGGGGCAGAGTGAGAGGGAGACACAGAATCGGAAACAGGCTCCAGGCTCCGAGCCATCAGCCCAGAGCCGGACGCGGGGCTCGAACTCAAGGACCGCGAGATCGTGACCTGGCTGAAGTCGGACGCTTAACCGACTGCGCCACCCAGGCGCCCCGAAAAAAAAATTTTTTTAAAAAAGGCAGGAGAGTAACTACATGGTATGGTTTCAACTACGTAAAAATACATATTTTTACAGATTTATTGCGATATAATTGACATTTAACATAATTGTGTAAGTATAACACAATTGTATAAGCTGAAGGTGAACCATGAATTGATTTGATATTCATATATTGCAAATTGACTACCACCATAGCATTAGGTAACACCTCTATCACATCACATAATTAGGTAATTACATTTCTTTTTTAATAGTGAGAACATGCAACATCTACTCTCTTAGCAATTTTCAAGTATATGATATTATTAACTATAATTACCATGCTGTTAATTAGATCCCCAGAACTTACTCATCTGATAACTGGAAATTTATGCCCTTTGACCAACATCTCCCTCTTCCTACCTTTCTATCTCCTAGCTCATGGTAACCACCATTGTACTCTTTGTTTCTATGAGGTCAGCTTTTTTTTAGATTCTACAGGTAAGTGATAACATACAGTATTTATCTCTTTCTGATTTATTTCACTTAGCATAATGCTCTCAAGGTATATCCATGTTGTTGTAAGTGGCAAGACTTCCCTCTTTTTTTATGGCTGAATGATATTCCATTGTGTGCACATATATCAAATATATGTATTCTTACAGTGTATATATTTGATATATGCAGACATCCCTAGGATAAAAGCTGGAAGGAATGATACCAAAATATTACAAAGGATTCTCTCTTGGGGGCAGTGAGGTTATTATAGATTTTTTTTAACCTTTTAGTTTTCTGTAGTTTCCACACTTTCTATAATGAATAATAGATACTATTTTTGTTTCTTTTAATTAATTCTGAACTAGTTCAAATATACAGAAAAGCAAAAAAATATAATACTCATCTATGTACCACACAAATCTGACATTAGTATTTAGTCATCTTGCTTCAGATTTCCTTTTTGTTAAAATATGAAATGTAGCATAGATAGCTATGCCCCCCCCACCTGCCCCCTGCACTCATCTATTTCCTCTACCACCTTGTCTAGAAACAGCTCCAATACTAACTGTGTTTTATGGCATTCCCATGCAAGCTTTATATGTTTCATACATGGGCATGTATGTATGAATAATACACATTATTTGCTGTGTTTTTGAAATTCACATAAATTGTATTTTATACTATGTATCTCTTTGTACCTTGCTTCTTTCAACATCTACTATGTTTATGAGAATGATCTATATGGATCAAGTTCATTCACCTTGAATGTTTTATATATTCCATTTCGTAAATTCAATTCCATTATATTCTACAAGTAAGTCCACTTTTCAGTCTATCTTTATTTGCCCTTTTAAAATTCCCTCAATAATCTACTTCATGTTTTAAAAATCATCGACAACAGATAAGTGAAAGAGCAAAGAGCACAACGGCATGTGTTGTATGGTAGCATTTGTAAAAGAGGGGGGAAATATTTTATGTATTTGCTTATGATGGCATAAATTATCACTAGAAGAATACAAGAAAAAGATGACAGTGCTTTGGGGGAGAAAAACTGAGTGGTTGGGGGACAGGAGTAAAAGTCTTCACTCTACTTTATGGTTCCTTTAGAATTTGCATTTTGAATCATGTGACTAGGTTACCTATTTAAAAATGTTTTCAGAATATAAATAATTTTTTAAATTAAGATTTTTAAAAAGCCAATGGAAAGGTCTGATTCAAAAGAATCTGAACACGGACTTATCATGGAAGGGGTAGAAAGTTGTGCAATTCAATTCAGTTACAATTAATAACTCAAGATAATTGAAAGCTTGAGTCTTCACAAAATTGAGTACAACTCAACTCAAAACAACACAACTTGAAACTCAGTGTAAGGGGAAACTTCTGAAAAAGGTGGAATAACACTGACTTGCAGAATCCATTCTCCAATACCTAAAGAAACATCTACAACAATATATTAAAAACAACAGCAAAGGAAAAATTCAGTAGCCATGCACCAAAGAAAGGTTTAGAGACAACTCAATGCCATAAAGTTTATAAAGTGCTTATCAAGAAACAGCATTCTAAAGCAGAAGGGAGAGGGGTGCCTGGGTGGCTCAGTCGGTTAAGTGGCTGACTTCCGCTCAGGTCATGATTTCGCGGTCCGTGAGTTCAAGCCCCGCGTCGGGCTCTGTGCTGACAGCTCAGAGCCTGGAGCCTGTTTCAGATTCTGTGTCTCCCTCTCTCTGACCCTCCCCTGTTCATGCTCTGTCTCTCTCTGTCTCAAAAATAAACGTTAAAAAAAAGTAAAAAATAAAAAATAAAGCAGAAGGGAGAAATGCAGTACAGATCTTTCTTGACTTATGATGGCGTTACATCCTGATGAACTCATCATAAGTTGAAAATGGAAGTGAAAATGCATTTAATACACTTACCCTATGGAACATCATAGCTTAGCCTATTCTACCTTAAACATGCTCAGAATACTTACATTAGCTAGCAATTGGGTTAAATCATCTAACACAAAGCCTAATTTATAATGAAATATTGAATATTTCATGTAATTTATTTAACACGATACTGACAGTGAAAAACAGAATGGCTGTATGGGTGCAGAATGGCTGTAAGTGTATAGGTTGTTTACAGTCATGACCATGTGGCTGACTGGGAGCTGTGGCTCGCTGCACTGCCCAGCATCATGAGAGAGGATCTTACATCATATCGTTAGCCTGGGAAAAGATCAAAATTCAAGATTCAAAGGATAGTTTCTACTAAATGTGTATCACTTTCACACCATCATACAGTTGAAATTGTTAAGTCCAAATATTGTAAGTCAAGGACCATCTGTATGGTGAGATTCCTAACTTCTCTAGAAGTCATAACATAGAAATTGCTCCTAAGAATAGTAATGAAAGAGGGAAAGTGATCTGAGCAGTTAGTTTTTAGTGAAGTGAAGGCTCTGAGGATGAAACATCAAACTGGGGGGACACCTGAAGTCCAAGAATATTCCTTGTCTGGGAAAGGGACAATACCTCCAACTATGTGGAATG